TCTCTCGGCGTCCTCATCTGAGAAATGGGGATAATGACAGTGCCTACACCACTGGGTTTTCATGAAGGTTCAATGAGGGAATGCATGTGGCCTCTTTCTTCCACTCCAAGCATCCAACCCGTCAGCAAATCCTCTGGACTCCACCTCAAACACACGTCCCCAAACCTTTCACTTTTGCCGCATGCCTTAAACCTACCCACCATTATCTTAAAGTGTAATGTTGCATTAGCCTCCTGGCTTCCTGCTTTCACCTTTCCTCTCCTATATGACCATTCTATATGAGGAGGCCGGAGCAATCTGATGCTAACATGTGAATTCGATCCTGTTGTGCTGGTGACTATAACTTTTATAGTGCTTGTCCCTCTGTTTGGCCTAGAATAGGCATTTAATACATGGTCACTATTATTACATGATTCTTTTTTTTAATGTTTATTTATTTTTGAGAGAGAGCACGTGCAGGTAGGGGATGTGCAGAGAGAGTGAGACAGAGGATTCGAAGCTGGCTCCACGCTGACAGCCCAGAGCCCGCTGTGGGGTCGAACGAATGAACCACAGGATCATGACCTGAGCTGAAGTCAGACACTTAACCGACTGAGCCACCCAGGCGCCCCTACACTATTATCTTCTGACTTCTAGGAATCAAATGCATTCGGCCTAGAAGGAGAATCTGTCGAGTGAAACAAACACTCTACTGAAACTCTTCCTGACACAGAGTGAAAACATGAAGCAGCCAACATAGGCGTATGGACTGAACCATATACATCTGCAACAAGACATGATACAAGTGTTATTTCCACTCGAAGATGTCCTCTTTTCATTGCGCACTGCCCAAGTATAACAACCTCTCCTTCTCCCCTCTTGGACTCATGTGGATAAAAATAGAGGAATATGGCTACAGTGGAAACATGAGCTTACACGGTGAATGTCATTTGTGAAATTTTGTGATTATCACCTCACTTACTCCTCACAACATCCCATTACAGTTGGAAGTTACAATTGTTATTCCCATTTTTTTAAATTTTTTATTTACTTGTTTTTGAGAGAGAGATGGAGAGAGAGAGCATCCCAAGTAGGCTACATGGGGCCTGACCCCACAGCCACAAGGACATGACCTGAGCCGATATCAAGAGTCAGACGCTTAACCAAGTGAGCCACCCAGGTACCCCTGTTATTCCCATTTTAAAGATGGTTAAACCGAGGCAAGGTAAGAAGACGCAGCTCACCAGATTAGCCAGAGAACGAGTGGGGAGCAAAGCCAGGATTTAAACCCCTGCAGTCTGTCTCCAGAGTTTTTGCTCTCATAAACCTGTCACACCAGACCATGATTCCTGCTACTTTTTGTTAGGATAGGGCCCCACTTGGGCTCCTGGGTGGCTCAGTCAGTCGAGTGCCTGGCTTCCACTCAGGTCATGTTCTTGAGGTTCATGGGTTCGAGCCTCGCACTGGGTTCTGTGCTGACAGCTTGGAGCCTGGAGCCTGCTACGGATTCTGTGTCTCCTCTCTCTGCCCCTCCCCGGCTTGCACTCTGTCTCTTTCTTTCTCAAAAATAAACATTAAGGGCACCTGGGTGGCTCGGTTGGTTAGGCGTCCGACTTCGGCTCAGGTCATGATCTCGTAGTTCGCGAGTTTGAGCCTCACGTCAGGCTCTGGGCTGACAACTCAGAGCCTGGAGCCTGCTTCAGCTTCTGTCTCTGTCTCTCTCTCTCTGCCTCTCCCATGCTCATGCACTTTCTCTCTTTTTCTCTCAAATATAAACATTTAAAAATTTAATAAACATTAAAGAAGTTAAAAAAAGAATAGGGCTCCACTTCAAGTTTAAAATAGAAAGTAAATTAAATTTAGCTTTAAAATTGTCAGTAAATACTAGGGTGGGTGGTATGGAGTTCGGGCAACGCTCCCCGAGGGTACACGAGGGACTGGAGGTTAGGTGACACGGGAGTCCACTGCAGAAAGAGGGAATGTGCGATGCCACAGCTGCTCTAGCTAGTCTCATGCAAGCCGCGAAGAAAACTCTTGTATTTTTCCCACATTAACAACTGATCCAAGACTGAAAATTCATCATCGGGGTCCTAGCCAAGGGAGGGAGAGGCCTGCGTAATCCGGAAGAGCCAGCCTGAGGATAACACCTCTTGGTTAAAGTCAGAGAGGCTGTGTGATCGCCATTCTTTGACATCTTTTCTTTCTTTTTTTAAATTTTTTAAAAAATATTTTATTTTATTTTGGGGGGAGAGAAGGAATTCCAATGAGCTGGAGCCTGACTCGAGGCTCAAACTCACAAACCATGCGATCATGACCTGAGCCAAAATCAAGAGTCAGCCATTCGACCGACTGAGCCATCCAGGTGCCCTCTGACCTTGACATCTTTTCTAAATGTGAATTGGTCAATCACCATGTTTCAGCTGATTTCTTAGCCATTCTGCAGAGATGCTTATCCATTAGGCACAGTAGGCAAGGTGCATACGTCTTACAAAAGCCCACAAAAGTGTTTGATTTCTTTCATAGGATGATGCTGAGGACAGTGATTGGGGCCAGAGTACAAATAAGATAAACCATATGTAACATGAAGCGTAGGTCTTATTATTAGAAATCACTTTTAATATTCGGGATATTAACACCTCCCAAATCATCTCCAAAACACATATTTTTTTAAAGTCTATTTATTTTGAGAGAGACAGAAGCAGTGTGAGTCAGGGAGGAACCCAGAGAGAGGGAGAGAATCCCAAGCAGGCTCCACACTGACAGCACAGAGCCCGACGCAGGGCTCCAACCCATCAGCCGTGAGATCATGACCTGAGCTGAAATCAAGACCTGGACATTTGACCAACTGAGCCATGCATACACCCCATTACAACACACATCTTGAAGGGAGAACCATAGAGCCCTCAATCTGGTATAGGGGCCAAGGGCAGACCACGCCAAAATGTGCCACTTTGGAAGATTGATTACTTCATTTTATTTATTTATTTACTTACTTATTTATTTTTAAATGTTTATTTTGATAGAGAGAGAGCACTAGTGGGGAAAGGACAGAGACAGAGCAAGAGAAAAAGAGGGGCTTCAGGGTGGCTCAGTCGGTTAAGCATCCAACTTCAGCTCAGGTCACGATCTCACGGTTCGTGGGTTTGAGCGCCTTGTCGGGGTCTGCACTGACAGCTGCAAGCCTAGAGCCTGCTTTGGATTCTGTCTCCCTCTCTCTCTGCCCTCCCCCCACTTGCCCTCTGTCTCTGTCTCTGTCTCTCTCTGTCAAAAATAAATAAGTGTTAAAAAAATTTTTTTGAAAGAGAGAGAGAGAGAATCCCAAGCAGGCTCTGAGCTCTCAGTGCAGAGCCCGATGCCAGGCTCGATCTCACAAACCATGAGATCATCATCTGAACTGAATTCAGGGGTCAGATGTTTAACTGACTGAGCCACCCAGGTGCCCTGGCATATTGATAATTTTAAATAAAAGTTATTTAAGAAACACCCAATGCACAAAGAACACCCTGAGCCCCCTTCGTCTCCAAAACAGCAAGAAATAAGTGGTGAAAGTTACCCTCCCTGTACCAGGAAGTAAAGAGACATCCTTAAAATCAGAAATGGGAAATACAGAGCAGAGAGGGCTGTGTAAACACTCCTTGTCATTCTTTCCTAATTTGCTTATTTCTTGGTTATTTCTTGAGGTGTCATTATTGGGCCTCTGTGTGCACGTAGTAAAACTTTGTTTTCTCTCCCATCAAACTGTCTCATGTCAATTTAATTCCTAAACCAGCTAGAAGACCTTGAAGGACGGATGGAAAATTTTTTCCTCCCTTACACTGGCCTGGATCTCTTTTATTTGACAATAAATATAATTTTATTTTTTCCTGAGCAAGAGATTGGGATGATTTTTTTAAGGGGTGGGGGGAAGGCAGGGCCGGTGGCTGAGGGAGCAGGAGCGGGAAAGGTGGAAACTGACCTGAGTTCATGACAGGATCCCAGCGCAGAGAATGGATGAGCTTGTATAGGAGACCTGCTACCGCAGATGCTGGAGTGTAGCACTATCGAAGACGCATACTGCACCGTGGCATCCAAAGCCGGCAAAACGCAAGAGTTCTTGGGTGCACTAAGCCCTGGGCTGGGGTCTACACTTGCACTCTGATGTGGATTCATTACTAAAAATCTGGAGTACTTGAACTTTCTCATCGGGCACATTGTATTTCCCGTAGGGAGCATCTTACCCAGAATGCTCTGCAAACCCCACCCCAAGACCCGACTCTGGGCACCCGGGGAACATGGGGGGTGGGGGTGGGGCTCTGCTTTCTGTGTCCTTGCAGAGACCCGGTTCATCATTTCGGCTTAATTATTAGCCTGGGGTGTGCACAGAGGGTTGGGCCATGAGACTTTCTCAAAACTTTTCCAAAAAGGCTCCTGTAGGTAGTGTGATGTCTCGAGCCCCCATCTCCCCCGTCCCCGACTTGCCCACCAAATCAGTTTGCGTAATCCAGTACAGCCCGGTCCTCAGACCAGACACTCTGCTCAAGTGCGGAGTGGTAAACCGAACTTTAAATTAGAGCCCCCAAACTTTAAATTAGAGCCCCCCGGGGCGCCTGGGTGGCTTAGTTGGTTGGGCGTCCCACTTTAGCTCAGGTCACGATCTCACAGCTCATGGGTTCGAGCCCCGCGTGGGGCTCTGTGCTGAGAGCTCGGAGCCTGGAGCCTGCTTCTGATACTATGTCTCCCTCTCTCTCTGCCCCTCCCCCACTGGCACTCTGTCTCGCGCTCTCAGAATAAACATTTAAAAAATTTTTTTAAAAATAAATAGAATAGAGACCCTAAGCTTCCGCCTTTCCTTCGGCGCCCTTATTTTTTGGCCACGCCCCGGCCTCAGCAAGTCCCACCTACCACAGTTGGTGGAAAAGTAAAGCCAATAGCAATTGGCTAAAGGGGAGTGCCTAAGTGTTGGACCTGCGCCAACCATTCGAACTGGGTCGAGGCGCCAAAAGAGGACCACTCAGCTCTCAGTCACCTCAGGGCTTGCGGAGGCGGTGGTCGTCCACTTCACTACCGCCATGGATCCGCTGCCCATTGGCGACTGCTATGACCCGGGCGACTACTACAATCCCGACTACCGCTGGCTGGGAATGCAAGAAGTGGAAGTAAGATCTGAGGCTGTGGAGGGGGCAGCCTTCGAAGCCGAAGAATACGGCCTCTTTGCTGAAGGCATTCCAGGCCCCATGGGCGACGTTAACTACCAGGGCAACGTCGACTATGAAGAACTCTTGAATTATGTCAACTATCAAGGCATCGTCAACCATGAAGGTGACGTCAACCGTGAAGGCAACATCAACGGTGAAGGCGACATCAACCCTGAGAGCGACATCAACCGTGAAGGTGTGGTGAACCATGACGGCGAAGGGAACCAGGAGGTCGATGGTGGCATTCAGGAGCTGGGGCAACAGCACCCTGAACCGCCACCCCAAGTGGCAGCCGCAGCGGCTCCGCGGGCCCAGGGCAGGCCACACGGAGTCCCGCGCTGTAAATTCACCGCGTTTCAGGTGCGGGAGCTGGAAAACGTTTTCGAGCGCACTCAATATCCTGATGCTAACACAAGGTAAGATGCTTGCTCCAGCCGGGGCCCAGTTATCCAGGGACCCTGACCTCATTTCGAGGTATCTTTGTTTCCCCACCCCCGTCTCTCCTTCCCCCCTCCCCCCCCCCGTACCTCCACCCTTAACTCTCAACCCTCGCCCCCACCTCCTTCTCCTTCTAAACCAAAAGGGACGGGCTGGGGAGAATGCCTTCTGTGCATCAAGGGAAATATCTTTATACAGTAATTATATGAAATAAGTCTGGAAATTGTGGTGGCTGGTCTTTTTGTGTTTTAAATTGTGGTAGGGGCGCCAGGCTGGCTCAGTTGGGAGAGCGCGGGTTTCTTGATCTCTGGGGGTCGTGAGTTCTTCAGTTCGAGCCCCGGGTAGGCATAGAGATTCCATAAACAAACGTAAAGAGAAAAGACTTCAGGGGAGCCTGGGCGGCCCAGTCGCTGAAGCGGTTAAGCGTCCAACTTTTGATTTGAGCTCAGGGCATGATCTCCCGGTTCGTGAGTTCGAGCCCATTCGAGCCCGCATCGGGCTCTGCGCCGAAGTGTTCTCTCGCTCGCTTGCTCGCTCGCTCTCAAAAAAAAAAAAAATTTTTTTTAAAGAAAAGAAAAAAAACATTTTTTTAAAAAAAAAATGGCAAAACAGGGAGTCGTGGCTGGCTCAGAGGAGCGTGCAGCTCTTGATCTCCGAGTCCTAAATTTGAGCCATTTACCGGGTGTAGAGATTACTAAAAAAAAAAAAAAAAAAAAAACTTTAAAAACAAGAAATCGTGGTAAAATATATGTAAAGATAAAATATACAATCTTAACTATTTTTAAGTGTCTAGTTCAGTAAAGCACATTCATATTTTTTTACAACGAATCTCCAGAACTCTTTTCACCTTGCACAACTGAAAGGACGCACGGTGAACCACTCTCTCTTCCCCCGACAGCCCCACCCCTAGCGGTCTTACTACTTTGCATTCTGATGAATTTCACTACCGTAGTTGCCTCGTGTAGTGGAGTTTTTCTTTTTATGACTGGAGTTTTTCACTTACCTAATGTTCTCAGGGTTCGTCCATGATACAGCAGGTCTCAGAATTCTCTTCCTTTTCAGGGTTGAGTAATATTCCATGGTTTGTAAATACAGAATGTCGTTGATCTATTCACTTATTGATGGGCATTTGAGTGGGTTCTACCTTTTGGCTCTTTGTGAATAGTGCTGTTGTGAACATGGGTGTGCAAATAGCAGTTGGAGTCACTGTTTTCAATTATTTGGGGTATTTATCCAGAATTGCTGGATCATTCGGTAACCCTGTTTTTAATTTTCCCAGCCGTGGCTGTGCTGTGTCCAATAGTGGCTGCACCATTTTACATTCCCAGGAGCAGCACACAGGCGCACAAGGAGTCCAATTTCTTCACATTCTTGTTAACACTTGTTGTTGTTGTTTTTTTAAGATTTTATTTTGAAGTAATCTCTACACCCAAAGTGAAGCTTGAACTCACAAGCCTGAGAACAAGAGTCTCACGCTCAGGGGCCAGACACCCCTGTTTTTAATATTAGCCACCTCAGTGGATATGAGGTGGAATCTCATTGTGGTTTTGATTTGCATTTCCCTATTGATTAGTGATGTTGAGCATCTTTTCATGTGCATATTCAAGTCCTTCACTCATTTTTATTCTTTATAAGACTAATTTACTAATTTTTTCCTGATTTTTTTTATGTTGGTAAAATACTCGTAAAATGTGCTTTTACCATTTTTAAGTGTACAGTTGTAGGGGCATTACATACATTTTTATTATGCCACCATCACCACCATTCATTTTCAGAAATCTTTTCATATTGCAAACCTGAAACTCTACTACCATTATACAATGATACCCCTCCTCCCCCTGGGCCCCTGTCCCTGGTAACCACAATTCTGCTTCCTTTCTGTGATTTTGTCTTTTTGTGACTGGTTTATTTTACACAGCATACAGTCTTTTAATTGTTTGTAAGGCTTTTTGGCTTTTTTTTTTTAATTTTTTTTTTTTTATTTCCAGGAGAGAGAGAGAGACAGCGTGAGCAGGGGAGGGTCAGAGAGAGAGGGAGATACAGACTCTGAAATTGGCTCCAGGCTCTGAGCTGGCGGTCAGCACAGAGCCCGACGCGGGGCTCCAACCCACGAACCGCGAGATCATGGCCTAAGCGAAAGTCGGACGCTTAACCGACTAAGCCACCCAGGCGCCCCGCTTTTTGGCTTTTTTATTGGAGTATAATTGACGTACAGTGTTATATTAGTTTTGGGTGTACAACATAATGATTCAACGACTTTATACCTTACTCAGTGCTCATCATGATAAGTGTTGTCACCATCTGTCACCATAAAATATTATTACAATATTATTGACGATATTCCCTATGTTGTATTTTCACTTTCATGACTTACTTATTTTATAACTAGATGTTTATACTTCTTAATCCCCTCTATTTCACCTGTCCCCTGACCCAATTCCCCTCTGGGAACCATCAGTTTCTTCTCTGTATTAGAGTCTGGTTTTTGGTTGTTGTTTTTTTCAGTCTATCTCTGTTTTGTGTTTTACATTCCACCTGTAAGGGACCCTGGGTGTCTCAGTGGGTTAAGCCTCTGGCTCTTTTTTTTTTTTTTTAATGTTTTATTTACTTTTGAGAGAGAGATAGAGACAGCGTGAGCAGGGGACGGTCAGAGAGAGAGGGAGTTACAGAATCCGAAGACAGACTCCAGGCTCCGAGCTAGCTGTCAGCACAGAGCCCGACGTGGGGCTCGAACCCACAAACTGTGAGATCATGACCTGAGCTGAAGTCGGACACCTAACCGACTGAGCCACCCAAGTGCCCCTAAGCCTCTGACTCTTGGTCTCAGCTCAGATCTTGATCTCAGGATCGTGAGTTCAAGCCCTGCTGTGGGCTCTGCGCTGGCATTAAGCCAACTTAAAAAAAAATTAAGTTCTGCATATAAGTGAAATCATACAGTATTTGTCTTTCTCTGACTTATTTTAAGACTGAATAATATTCCATTGCGTGTATATACTGTATTTTATTTATCCATTTATTATTAATGAGCACTTGGGTTGCTTCCACGTTTTGGCTCTCGTGAATTACACTGCTGTGCACAAAGGTGTGAAAACATCTTTCCAAGGCCCTGTTTTCAGGTGTTTCAGGTATATACTCAGAAATGGAATTGTTGGATCATTTGGTAATTCTGTGTTTCAGTTTTTGAGCAGTTATTCTACTGTTTACCTTAGTGGCTGCACAGGGGTTCCCATTTCTCCACATCCTTACCAGCACTTGTTATTTTGTTTCATTTGGTTTTTGGTTTTTGGTTTTTATAGCATCCTTTCTAATGGTATGAGGTGGTAGCAGTTTGGTTGTGATTTGCATTTCCTTAATGATTAATTAGCGATGTTGAGCATCTTTTCATGACCATTTGATATCATTTTTGGAGAAATGTCTATCCAAGGCCTTTGCTTATTTCTTTTTTTTTTAATGTTTTTTTTATTTATTTCTAGGAGAGAGAGAGAGACACAGCGTGAGGAGGGGAGGGTCAGAGAGAGAGGGAGTCACAGACTGAAACAGGCTCTAGGCTCTGAGCTGGCAGTCAGCACAGAGCACGACGCGGGGCCCGAACCCACGAACCGCGGGATCATGACCTAAGTGAAAGTCGGACGCTCAACCGACTAAGCCACCCAGGCGCCCCAACCTTTGCTTATTTCTTAACTAGATGCTTGTTTATTTATTGAGTTGTAGCCCTTAATATATTGGGGATATTAACTCCTTGTCAGACATATGATTTGCAAATATTTTCTCCCATTGGATGGGTTGCCTTTTTACTCTATTGATTTTTTTTAAGTTTTTAAAGTTATTTTAAGAGAGAGAGCCCACGTGCACGTGGGTGCATACGTGCGAGTTGGGGAGGGAGCAAAGGGAGAGGGGGAGGGAGAGGATCCTAAGCAGAATCCACACTCAGCGCAGAGCCTGACGTGGGACTCAATCCCACAAACCATGAGATCAGAACCTGAGCCTAAATCAAGAGTCAGGCACTTAACAGACTAAGCCACCCAGGTCCCCCTCACTTTATTGATTTTGTACTTTGGTCTACAGAAGTTTTTAATTTTGATGTAGTCTAATTTATACATTTTTTATTGTGTTGGTAGCTTTTTGTAAATAAAATTTTATTGGCATCAGGGTAAGGAGAATAAGGTACTCTCCTGCAGCTGTACTGCTGGATCCTTTCATTTAAAATTTTGAAGGGGACACTAGGGTGGCTCAGTTAAGTGTCCCACTTAAGCTCAGGTCATGATCTAGTTTGTGGGTTCAAGCCCTTCGTTGGGTTCTGTGCTGACAGCTCGGAGCCTGGAGCCTGCCTCAGATTCTGTGTTTCTCTCTCTCTCAAAAATAATTTTAAAAATAAACATTAAAAATTTTTTATAAATAAGTAAAATTTTGAAGGAGGGAGTCACCTGTGCAGCTCAGTCAGAAGAGTGTGACTCTTGATCTCAGGGTCAAGAGTTTGAGCCCCACTTAGGGCATAGAGCTTACTTTAAAAAAAATTTTAATAAATAAAAAAAAAAAATTGGAGGGGCACCTGGCTGTCTCAGCCAGCAGAGCATGTGACTCTTGATCTCAGGGTTGTGAGTTCAAACCCCACGTTGGGTGTAGAGCTTACTTAAAAAATAAAAATAAATAAATAAATAAATAGAATTGTGATAATTGGTTCATCATAGATTTGTTTGCATTACTTTTTATTTTATTTTTTATTTAAAATTTTTTTCAGTGTTTATTTATTTTTGAGAGAGAAAGAGAGACAAAGTGTGAGCGGGGAAGGGGCAGAGAGAGAGGGAAACACAGAATCCGAAGCAGGCTCCAGGCTCAGAGCTGTCAGCACAGAGCCCGACACGGGACTCAAACTCACAAACCACGAGATTATGACCTGAACCAAAGTCAGATGCTTAACCAACTGAACCATTCAGGCACCCCTAATTTTTTTATTTAAATAGTGCATTAAAATTATTTATCTTGCCTACCAAGTTGCTAGTGCCACCTTCCATTTTGAAGGGAAACCATCTATATAGCGAGTCTGGAACTGGGAAAGGCAGAAAAGTTTACTTGAGGGGTAGGCTCATGAGGGGAGGGTACATATTTTTTTAAATGTTTTTATTTATTTGTGTGAGAGAGAGAGACAGCGTGAGCAGGGGAGGATCAGAGAAAGGGAGACACAGAATCTAAAGCAGACTCCAGGCTCCGAGCTGTCAGCACAGAGACCGACGCGGGGCTCAAACTCACGAACTGTGAGATCATGGCCTGAGCTGAAGTCGGACGCTTAACCGACTGAGCCACCCAGGCACCCCGGGGAGGCTACATATTTTAAATCAAGCATACAATGTAAATCTGTACATTTCCCTTTATCCACAGCTCCAAATACTAAACATTTGTGGTTTTCTCCCCTCAGAAGAGAACTTGCGAGGTGCATGGATGTGACCGAAACCAGAGTGCAGGTGAGTAAACCTGAATGGCCGGGCACCCGCTCTGAAACCGGCCGTAGACCACCCACCAGCTGTTCTCAAGTTGGTGTGTTTCAGTTGTTGCCAACGTGGGCAAATAAGTCGACTTTAGGAGTCTTTGTGGGTGAAAAATGGGATACGTGAACTCCAGCTTACAGATATTTCCCATTACCAGAGGGAACACGATTTCTTTTTTTTTTTAATGTTTATTTATTTTTGAGAGAGAGAGCAGGAGAGGGGCAGAGAGAGAGAGAGAGAGGGAAACACAGAATCCGAGGCAGGCTCCAGGCTCTGAGCTGTCAACACAAAGCCCGACATGGGGCTCGAACTCACAAACCATGAGATCATGACCTGAGCCAAAGTCAGATGCTTAACCAACTGAGCCACCCAGGCGCCCCTATTTCTTAAAGGAAAAGAAAAAAGGAATTGCTTCTCCTATTCCATATACAAAGTCACATATATATATTTTTTGCAAACACATAGATATGTGTATGGATATATCTACATATAGCGAGTATATACACTTATGTGTAGATATATCAATCCACATATAGAGTAGATATGTACACAGATATCCTTTATTTTATTTTATTTTTTAATGTTTATTTGATTTTGAGAGAGAGAGACAGAGAGCACAAGTGGGAGAGGGACAGAGAGACAGAGAGAGACAAAGATTCCAAAGTAGACTCCAGGCTCCGAGCTGCCAGCACAGAGCCAGATGTGGGGCCCAAACCCACCATCCAAAATACGGATATCCTTTAAAGAGTCCTTCTGTGTCGAGTCATATTGAGGCTCAGGCTGACTGTGGAAGTATTCAAATTCATGCACAGAGGAGCAGTTTATGAGAGGGTTCAGTTATACTAAGTTAAAGCTGTGTGTAAGCTCTTAGCTGGTGGGTGAATTATAAACATTGGAGTGGGGGCGCCTGGGAGGCTCTGTCGGTTGAGCATCTGACTTTGGCTCAGGTCATGATCTTGTGCTTCATAGGTTCGAGCCTCGCGTCGGGCTCTGTGTTGACAGCTCAGAGCCTGGAGCCTGCTTCCGATTCTGTGTCTCCCTCTCTCTCTCTGTCCCTCCCCCACTATTGCTCATCTCTCTCTCTCAAAAATAAACATTAAAAATAGGCCTTCCGGAAACTACACAAATTCTACAAATGTACTAAACATGTAAGCAGATATTCTCTTGAGGATTTCTAACATTTAAGGATTTTTTTTTTCATGTTGGTGATGCTATTTTGAAGAGTTGTGTTTCGTGGAATTTGGTTGGTTGGGGGTTGGGTGCCCCTTATTTTGGGATAGAGTCATTGTGTTAATTTTAAATACTTTCATTCCCTCAGGCACCGTTGACTAATTTGGAGGTCATGCAATAAAAAGGTGACCCCCCCCAAAAAAAAAACACATTTAAGTTACAGCAAAGTGATATTTGCCCAAAAAAGAAAGGAAAGGAGATCAGGATGGGTGCATTGGCTTCGCCACAGAGTGCATGTGTGAGTGCATTGATGAGAAGGTGTTGCCAGGGTGCCTGGCTGGCTCAGTAGGAGGAGCATGTAACTCTTGATCTCGGGGTTGCGGGTTTGAGACCCACGCTGGGTGTAGAAATTACTAAAAAATGTAAATAAACTTTAAATTTTTTTTTAAAAAAAGAACAGTAGCAGATCTGGTGGTGGGAGTATCTAAAAGCAGCCCAACAGAGCTGACCATTGAGTACTGGCATCCCAACACCGCAGACTGGGGCCCCGGGCCTGGCTCAGATTGGAAAGGTTGGGAGAGGACTGGGAGCTCTTTTTCAAGCTGACAAGGCATATGCAGAGGAAAAGAAAAACGTAAGGTTTGGTGACTAGCTCTTTCTCCTTCCTGGGTTTCCTAATGCACTCTCCAGGGCATTCTGAAGGGGAAATAAGCCAGAAGAAACGGATCAGGGGAAAAACAATCTTCTCACAGATTTCCACACCAGACAGTATGAATTTTCTACAAGAAACTTAATACATGGGTTTCCTCCTTTCTTTTGCAAATAGGTTTTATAAAGCCAATATTGAGAATATAGCCCATATCGGGGCGCCTGGGTGGCTCAGTTGATTTAGCCTCTGACTCTCGGTTTCAGCTCAGGTCACGATCTTACCGTTTGTGAGTTCGAGCCTTGCATCAGGCTCTGCGGCGACAGCATGGAGACTGCTAGAGATTCTCTCTCCCTCTTTCTCTGCCCCTCCCTCACTTTCTCTCTATCTCTCTCTCTCTCAAAATAAATACGTAAACATTTAAAAACATTTTTAAAAAGAGAGAATACAGCCCATACAACAGTCAGCTTTAGTTATTTATGTTTATGTTTGTGGATATTTGACCACTGCTACGTTGGGATCCCCCCCACAATGAGCTCTATTACACTCGCCTTGTTGAAACTGCATTTATACAACAGAAATACCACAAATCTTAAAATAGGAGCACAAGCATGAGGCCTCAGGGAGGGAGAGAAAGCCTTTTGTGCCACTTAAAATGTGTAGTTTGGAAACTTTTGAAGGGATTTCAATATAATGTTAACCCCATTATCTAGGACACGAGAAGACGGTCAAGTCTAACTGACCATTTTGTTTGTTTGCAAAAATATTTGGCAGATATGTAGGAAAAAACCATGTTATGACCCCCTTAACCCTCACTGTTGTCAACTATCTTCCTAAAGTGCCTGTGTCACCTTGCCTCACGACTAAGGGATGGGATTGGGACTTCCCGGTTGTGTCACAGCACCGAGGGGCCCTGCCCTGCCGGACACCAGTGGCTTGGGTCCAGGATCCCGGGACTGTGGCCAGGCACAGTGAGCTGACCTGGTTCTGAGCCCGGGAAGGTTTGTAGCATGGGGCAGGGCGGAGCATGCAGAATTGACGACGGTGACAATGGTCTGCCTCTCTCCCCCAAACTCTCGGGTGGCCAAAAAGTTTCGAGCATTTTAGTTTATTTGGGTCAAGTTGGTCTCCACTCTCCTTACCCCTACAGGCTGGAGTATCAAGGCGGTGTGCGTCGCCTCCCCAACTCTCACGCCCCAACCAGACGAGCCACACACTCCGTGGGACCCCAGGAGGAGACCTTCCTTGCCAGACTGCTTCTTAACTCTCAAGAGAGTTCAGAGGAATAATGACCCCTTAGACATCCTTGAAGGAAACCTGTCTAAAAACCCAACACGTTTCTTCCTATTAATTATTTACTTTGCACCAAAGATAGGCTTTTCAAATAGGGAGCTGTGTCCCTCCATGTGCCCTTAAGTAGGGCCCGCTATTGACAATGCCCACATCGCCCCCAAAACAAGGTGACACTGTCTCTAGTGAGGAGATGGCAGGATGTAACTGGACAGCTGGTCATCAGCCGTCAGGAGACCAGTTCCCAGGTAGTGGGTCGGCAAGAACCCGGTGCAACTTATAACTAGATCTGCATCCAATACCTGAAAAAACCACTTGAATCTTAAAATTGGGAAGAGAGAGACAAAGTGATAAGCCTATTCCAGAATTGGGCACAGAGCTGGTGCTCCTAAGGGGGGAGCGAAAGGAAGGGGGCTGTGGGGTTAACTTCCCTGAGGAAATGGCTTCTCCCAGCGCAGCACGAAATCGCAGAGGTACATACACTAGCGTGTAGTGGCTTTTGTCTGAGGCCGTTGACTGTTCGACGTACTAAACCGATCCCTTTCTCCCTCTGATTGCAGGTTTGGTTTAAGAATAGGAGAGCCAAGATGAGGAGAAATGAGAGGGCATCAATGCTCAGAAACACCGCACCCACTAACCTGGACCGCCTGTTCATCCTAATGTTGGACCAGTCCTAGAATGCCGTCTTGGTCCTGGAGCCGGGTTGGAGATGGGTTCTGGAGCCCGTGACACCTGGGCCACCCTCGCTGCCTCTGCCACCCTTTTCTTCTCAGCAGCTGTGTTATCAATAAAGAGTTAAGTGCACCATGTCTTTGCCTTTGCATACCAAATGGGAGCAAGTAGGGTGCGTCTGTAAATTGTGAAGGAAATGTCATTTACACAGAATGACAAGGAGGCCTCCCTGAGTCACCGTGTGGAGGCCCCGCATGTCACAGAGGCTCCCTGAGTGCCCCTCATGACCTGGCACCGACCTGTATTTTGTCTACCATCCCGCCCTCCGCCACCCCATCATCATCCCCACCTTGCTCCTTTAGGACCACAGATAGGTGCAAAATGGGGTGGGGGGAGCCCCTAGTGAGAGAACAGCGTGGTTTCCAGAGATGAGCTCCATCCATGGTGAACTTGTCAGACCGGACTCTGGGGAAACCTCCTAAGAGGTTACTTACAGGGATTTATGGGAAGGCGGCCATTGAACATACGTGCGTTATGTTTCCAATTCTGGTCACTACTCCCCTTTGCGTGGAGGAGCCTGCAGAGTAGAAGCCACGCTGGCACGCGGTTCCTGCGGCTTCCAAAGAAAAATGAGAAGTGATTCCATCAAGGCCAGAAAGAGGCTCATCTCCCTTTTGCCCCTCTCCCCACCAGCCGAGAAAGCACATTACCTATCCTTCCCCAGCTCAGAAGCTCACTATGATGCCTTCAAAAGCATTTCGTCCCCTTCAGCCCCCTTGAGAGCACCCCAATTCTTGCTGTCAGACACTAAAAGGGGACCTGTTGCTTTCCTGTGCTGCTCAAAGCAAGAGTGAGGAGACGGTCTGAGCCGTGTTCTAGAACAATCCCTCGTTATAAAGGAGCAGTCATACCTTTGCTTTGTCTGTCTGTCTTTGGTGCGAATGCCAGTGTAGAAGAAAAGCACAAGTAAGGGTTGGTGAAGTGAAGAGGGCAAACCCACTATTTTTTTAAAAATATGACATGATTCACAGATTGGCATGACATGCTTGTACAGAGACCTTGTTCATCTTCTCTGCACTGTTCCCATTTTAGTTTAGGCGCTGCTGAAGCGCACGCAGCCCTGCTTTTTATTTATTTTTTTAATTTTTTAAATGTTTTTTATTTATTTCTGAGAGAGAGGGACAGCGTGAGCAGGGGAGGGTCAGAGAAAGAGGGAGATACAGACTCTGAAACAGGCTCCAGGCTCTGAGCTAGCTGTCAGCACAGAGCCTGACCCGGGACCCAAACCCACGAACCATGAGATCATGACCTGAGCCGAAGTCAGACGCTTAACCGACTGAGCCACCCAGGCGCCCCAACAACCCTGCTTTTTAAAAAGCATTGAATTCTCTGCAGTTCAGCCTTTGTTTCTGAGGAAGCTTTAGCAATGTGAGGCTCCTTTGATGGCGCTCTGCATGAAAAGTGATTGACCGTGGACACCTCTGTCCTGTAAAGTGACTGCGGTAATTACAAACAGGGTGCCATGGTTACATCAGAAGTTCCTCTTGTGGGAGTTTCTTTTTTAAATGCTAAGTTTCTCACTGCTCTACATACCTTCAGAACGACAAGGTCTGTGCCAATAAGCTCCAGGCACTGTCAGACCCGAGATGGAGCCACTCCCCAAGGAATGTGGTGAAAACCTCAAGACAGGGGAGGGTAATGAGACTGCGTGCACAGGTATGTGACGTTCCTCACAACTCTAACAGACCACTCAAACAGACTGTATGTCTGCATGTTACCACGTATGGGAGACAAAGAAGTAGAAATCATATAAAAGGCCACAGCCAGCTGTGCTTGGGGCTCAGTTTTTCAGGTACAAACCCACTGAGACCGGGAGGGCATGAATAACGTTACTTCCTAGAAAGGAAAGTCTTGGTGTCGTGACTCGCCGTCTACAAACCTCAGTCTCATTACAGTATGTGGGGGCTCGTCCAGGATTTGGAGACGATGCGTTTCCACCTCTCTTGTCGCCAGGGGTACCATCCTTGGGGTACCGGGAGAAGTGACCTAGTCTAGCACCAGCAGACCACTTGATCCATATGAGACTAGCCCCTCCCAGCTCACCGGGGCGAGGGCCCCAGATGCACAAGGAACCCGGTGAGGCCCAGGAACCAGCTCAGGGAGCGGCGCCCGACAGACTGGTAAAAACCTGGGGTTCGTTTTGGTAGACTTGCCTCTAGAAGGCAGAAAGGGAGCCGGATCACCCCCAGAGTACCAGAGTTGCCTCAGTGGTTCCATAAGGAAAAAAGAATGAAACCGCAACTCTAAGGCATTAGGCGCTGGGCAGCAGGTTGGAGTCGCTGTGTGACTGTGTGAAATAGAGGACAGTGGAAAGGTTCTGACCTGACCAAGGGTGAAGCCCGTGTTGAGTCCCGATCCGTGGTTCTGTGGCGACCTCAAGTGGCTTAAGGCGGCGTAAGTCTTGCTCAGGAGTCTGATCCGGGTCAGAGATTGATACTAAACCTGCTAATGCTAACAGGTTCCTCAAATATCTCCGAGAGGAGAGCAGCTGGAAATGGACAAAGCAGTGTGTGTCCTCTCCAAATTAGCCCCCGCTTCCCCCTTTTTCTCTCCTGTGCATGAAAGTTGTCTGTTAGGGAGAGGAAATGGGTGGAAAGCAGAGTAAACCGACTCCCCTAGAGTGTATGTTGAGGAATTTCAAAAAGGGATATTCAAGAGATTATGGTGTGAAATTAACTCCCAGAAAGCTCCTGACATACTGTGAAATTGATTGGCCATTGTTTAGGGGGAAGAGAGGCTGGCCCTCCTGAGGGCGCACTTGGTAACAAACTAGTTGGCTGAGCATTCAGGGTCATTGCGAGGGACCCAGGCCACCCTGACCAATTCCCTTATAGTGACTATTGGCAAGACCTGGTCCTATCCTGGCCACCTTGGCTAAAAGTCTGTATTGAAGAGAACTATAAAGTTATGGCGGCTCGCGTCACGGCTTCCTCCAAATGCTGGCCAGAAACTGGAAAACCCATATTGTGGGGACAGCCTAAGGAAACCCACCACCATGTGCCCCACTGCACCCCTCACTGCCACCTGCCACTCCAGCCACCCCAGCTGCCAAAACCCCACTGGAGCCTGCCCCTCATCCCGAAGCCTTGCCACCTCTAGCACCACCGGCCTCTCTGAATGTGACCAGTGAGCTCACCCAGACCACCGGTCCTATCCCCGTACACCCCTCCCAGAAGGTGACTAGAAGAATATCAGGCCAGTAGAGACAGTCCATCCTTGCAGCCACACCAGTGATCCCTACAGATGCCACTGAGGAAAACTAGGGGACCCATCTATTATGATCGGGAATGCCAGATCCGAGGAGGCCAGTGTGTTTTTGTGTACCAACCCTTTACCACTCTGGACCTCCTAAATTGGAAGCACCAGACTCCCTCCTATATGGAGAAGTCCCAGGCTATGATTGACCTCATGCAGTCCATAATCCAGACCCGTAAACCTGCCTTGACGGACTGCCATCAACTCCTCCTGACCCTCTTCTACACAGAGGAGTGTCGTTGGGTTACCCAGGTGGCCTTAAAATGCTTAGAGGAGAATGCCCCGGCTGGGACGCTAGACACCCAGGCTTATGCTCAGGCTCACTTCCCTGGGGAGGATCCCAAATGGGACCCAGATGACTCAAGTGTAGGTGGAGGGCTCACAAGGACTGAATGGTATCAAGAAGCCCTTCTAAATGGCATGAAGGAAGGGTGTGGGGAGGAAGGCCATAAATATGAGTAAAACATCAGAAGTGCTCCAGGGACCAGAGGAGAGCCCAAGCCAGTTCTATGAGAGACTATGGGAGGCATTTCGCCTCTACACCCCTTTTGATCCAGAGGCGCCTGTTAACCAGTGGAGGGTCAATGTGACTTTCGTAGGTCAGGCCTGAGGGGACATCTGGTGCAAGCTGCAAGAGCTACAGGGTTTCACTGGCGTGAATGCCAGTCATTTGTTGGAAGTAGCAACTAAACTGTTTGTTAACCGTGGCCAGGTGGCATGGAGGGAAGAACGCTGGAAGACACAGAAAAAGGCAGACTTGTTGGCTGCTGCCTTGGTGGAGTGGTTGGAACACTCCTGGAAGGAGTTCCAACTAAGCCACCCAGGCGCTCCCCTTGTGATTTTCTTAATAACTTTTTTTTTCTAGCTCACTGTATTGTAAGAACCTGGTATATATTATATACACATACATACATTTTATGTATTAATTGACTGTTATCAGTGAGCCTTCCAGTCAACAATAGGCGATTAGTAGTTAAATTTGGGGGGAAACAAAAGTTATGCCTGCATTTGGGGCACATGGGTGGCTCCGTCGGTTGAGCGTCTGACTTCAGCTCAGGTCATGATCTCGCGGTCCGTGAGTTCGAGCCCCGCGTTGGGCTCTGTGCTGACTGCCAGCTCAGAGCCTGGAGCCTGCTTTGGATTCTATGTCTCTCTCTCTCTGACCCTCCTCTGCTCATGCTGTATCTCTCTCTCTCTCTCTCTCTCAGAAATAAATAAAAACAAAAAAAAAATAAAAAAAGAAAATCACAAGGAAAAGAAATTACATTTACAGTACTGCATGTATGTTTATTGGAGAGAAAAAAAAAAAAAACCTCCGCATGTAGCAGGCCTGGCAGCCTGGCCTGGGAGGCCAGGGCTGGCCTGCTGTCCATATGGTGATGTTCTGCAGCTTAGTGGCCTTGGTTGTGCTGGGGAAGCCACCAAACAGGGGAGCCCACCGGAGGCAAGGGCGGCATCGATGCACAGCATGGCAGCGCATCTGCCTGCAGGTGCACCATCAGCCTGCGGCCAGTAGCAGCTACAGCCACATGGGAACGCACTTGGACTCAGGGAGGATGTGGGCCCAGGCGCCATCGCTGGGTTGTACTGAGCCCCGCCAGTGGGGCCGGAGGTGCCCCGGCACCGGATGCAGCCCCAAAGCTTGATGCAAACCCCAGCCAGTCGCTGCCTGGAGCTCTGCGCGTTGAGGACTCTAGAGGCATGCTCCAGCAGTGGGGGCGCCTGGGGGCTGAGGACTCCCTGCTAGCAGCTGGGCTTGCCCCCTGGGTGCTTTCAGCCCCTCAAGTCCGGCTTCCTGCCCTCCAGTCTCCGACGCTGGGCCCGACAACCCAGTTAGCCCTGGCGGAGCCCTCAGCCCTGCCTGCTTCCTGGGCACCCCAGGGCTGAGGGCGACCGTGGCGGGTCTCCCTGTGTACTCAGAGTGCAGCAGGTGTGACCGCTGCATGAGTAGCCTCACATTAAGTCCATGGAGAGCAGGATGGGCAGTTGTAAATAAATGGCTTGTGGCTTTTGCTGTCAACCCATTAAAAGCAAGAAGAAAAACAAAACACACGTATGAGTGAACCTGTACAGCTAAAACCCTGTTGTTCAAGAGTCAAGCGTAGGGGTGACTGGGTGGCTCAGTCGGTTAAGCCTCTGACTTCGGCTCAGGTCATGATCTCCCAGTTCGTGGGTTTGAGCCCGCTTCGGGCTCTGTGTTGACAGCCAGCTCAGAGCCTGAAGCCTGTTTCGGATTCTGTGTCTCCCTCTCTCTCTAACCCTCTCCTGCGTATGCTGTCTCTCTCTCTCTCAGAAATAAATAAAACATTTAAAAAAAGAGTCAAGTGTAGACATCATTTTGCCTGTCTTTGAAATCTCTCGTGTTTATGTGGATTCCCTATAGGTACGTAATTAAATGTGTTTTCTCCTGTTCTTCTGTCTCATGTCAATTTAATTCTTGGACCAGCCAGAAACAAATTTTGAAAGGTAGAGAAAACTTTTTCTTCACCAGGAGCTGATGCCCCGTGTAATAAAAATAAACAAAAGTTTAATAACATGCATGCCTCCTGTATACATTGGGGGGACCCCCAAAAAACTGAGTAACTCACCAAAATGGTGCCAGTCACACTTTAAGTTACCGTCTCAGCTAAAGGCAAAAAATGCTGTTTGGGGAATGAGGGAAGCCAGTTTTGTAAGGTTTTCAGGCAAAGCGCTGTAATCTGATTACAGTTGTTAATCTGATTTAAACTGGCACCTTTCCTGCTGATTAGTTTCTAGTGATTGGGACATGCCACCTCCTCCAGCTATGGTGAGGGAG